TGATTATATTGTAAATTAAACATTTCCAGGCAGTTAATAATTTCAATTTCCTTCTTCTGCGTGAATAGTTTCTTTATTTTGTTAATTATTATATAAATATAGCATAAAAAACAACAAATAAAAAACAGAAATATAATAGCTGGCTCTCTTTAAAGATTAAAATATTCATCGAACTAACAATAATTAGAATAGTTTCCTTAAACTGACAATGAGTTAAATTATAACTTAATATGTCATAATGTAACAAATAATTACTGACAAATTAATCAGATTTATTGTAAATTTTTAATCCTTTTATAAATAAATTAATAAAATTTATATATATATATATTGTATATTATATGTATGTGTGAAACAGATTAATCCGTGCAAATTGATACTTTTTTTCTTCCATTGACCTGAGATGTATTCCTTGTGAAACAGTGGTTATGGGGTGGCCTCTCTATTAATGCGTACATATTTATATCCAAACATCTCCGATTACCATGACCGAAGTCTGGTTTCGACTCGCGATCTTAGACCACCGGCGGTACCAACAGAAAAAGATTGCTTTAATTTTTCCGACACCCATGTCAAATATATCACGGTATTGCGGCGATAATATATTAACGGTCCAAGTAGTAAAATATAATGCGGCTCGTAAAAGGGACTAAAGCTCCTTTTTTTTCTTCTTAATATCTAGATTCGAACGTGCACAATCAGAACTAATACACGGAGATCTATCATTGTCACTTTTTTTAAAAAGTGAAGAAAATTATTTTGAAAATTGTTTTGAAAACTCTCTCTATCTCTTGTAGCAGTTTGTTTTTTGTTATCATGCATAATCTATTTCCTTTTCTATCCTTCATTATTTCAATATGTTAAATATATAGCAATAACAAGTTTTTTGTATAGTTAATTAAAACCTATATACAACTGACAAATTACAGTAATTAATTTTAGTTGCGCTATGTTAACTATATCTCTGTTAAAAAGACTTTGAAATATAATATAAAACACTATAAAAATTAATTAAACATTCAATAATGTAGAAATATGTATTTGCAATGAAAATAAAACTTTCATTGGTTAAAATAATATTGATAACGATCATTCTATATCGCAAAAATGTACTCTTCAATTATTTATTGATTTGGATAATAAATTCGTTTGTAATATTTCGTTTAACTGAATTTATCTTTAAATATCATGACTTACGTTCTCAACACAAATATAATAACGTGAAACGCTCGTGCTGGTTAAGTAGCGGCATCAAATGGCGTCACGCTCCACCCTCTCAGTTTCACGCTTCTCAAACTTCGGCAATCTGCGAATATAATCTGCGAGCAAATTGGGATTTCACGGCTCGCCAGTTGCGATTGCTTCCCCCGAGATCTACAAGATACACGATTGTGTCCGATTTCTAATCTGATAATTTTCTACAAAAAGACGCCGACCAGCCATTCGAGAAGCTTTAATCCACTGGCGCCAACCACTTACGAAATTACATGGAAACGAAATTAATACCCGAAGAGATTCCTCCCGTATCATCAAAATAATTTGGCATCTCCGGTTCATAATAGATTTGTTATTAATAAATATTTTTAAAGGAGTATCCTAATATGATGGTTTCTCAGAGAATGCTTGAATCAACGATTTGTATAATAAAACACAAATAAAAGATTTGCTTAACTATCATACAACATATATGAATTTACTTTTCAGATATTTTACGTAAATAGAATTAAAATGATTAAAATAATGACGACTAAATATGTGTATTTTATTTTTTTTTAAACTGTAAAAATATATTAACGCCAATTGCAGTATTCAAATAATATATTTTTCTATCTGATTTTAATAAAATCTGTAAAAAATATGCGTATAAAATACGTATATACTTTATTTTATTTTATTTTATTATCTGTAAAAAATATGCGTATAAAATACGTATATACTTAATTTTACAGATTATATATAATATATAATATCACACAGTAATGCAATGACATAATAACTAATAAATTATATGCAAACATTATATATTTATTAAAGATCATGACCCTATCATTTGAGAGAGGAAACGCAATGATTAAGCGTACAATTCTTATCCATGCGCATTCGCCGGTTGTCGCGAGATGTGAATATGGTCACTCGCGATTCTGCTAGCAAGCAGATCGTATGCTCAGGCACGTTTGGGCCACATAGACCGTGAAAAAGAACATGGAGGAGACCCATCAACGTAGCAAAACACGATGCAATTACACAGAACGTGCAAAGTCGACAACAACGCGCCGGTTAATTGTATGCACACCCTGGCACATTGTTCACCACAAGAGGCATTTGAAACGACCGCCCATGAGATCTTGCTTGGTGGTTCTCCTCTTGAGGAATCATAAACAGGTTCGTGAGCCTGGGGATGACGTTGACTCTTGGCAAAGTCAAGTTGATAGGAAGTCATATATCGCATTCGCGAGACCTTTCGAGGCGACCAACATTTACGTTTATCGTTTGTTCGCACGATCCAACACGAGAAGTCCCTTGGTTCTTAACATGAAAGCCAATGAGTCGAATAATTAGATATTATTATTACGGAACAAGCCAAACTTTCGCAACGGTAATAACGCAAACTAAAAATCATGATCAAATCGAATATGATAATAAAAAATACGGATTTATAAAATAATTGTCATACAACGTATATACTGCATTTCAATAATGGTATAGAAAGTATATTAGATATAACGAGAGAAAATAATACTATTTTGGAAATATAGCAATCACAGAAAAATATTTTTAAAATATTTTCAAACAGAGATTAACTCAGAATATGCTCAACAAATACAATAATACGGATTAGCAAATAACAGCATATAATTGATGAAGCTTATTTCTCGATTTTAATTTTTATTTATAAATTTTAATTTAAAAAGAAGTCACTTCAAAATCTGCGCTAAAGAACAAAACAAAGAGAATAAAAGGACAACAATCAGAATTTGAAGAATGTGCATTTTCTATACAATACAAGATTAATATAAGGTCACTTGCTAAGTATATACATTTCCGGCTAGTTGTCTTAGCGCCATGGATACTGTCAAAGGATTGGATAGGCACAAAAAATTTATTGGACCTCCCATTAAATAACAAGATCGAAGAAAGAAGAGAGTTCATTCATTTATTGAAATATACGCTTTCTACCTGCACCGTAAAATATAAAAGTAAAAGTGGTACTAAAGCTTTTTTTGTTTTACCTGATATATCTTAGTAGATCAAGCTTATAAATTCTGCTCTTTGTTAAATTTTTGTGCCATAGAACTAATAATTAATAAAGATTAAATTAGTCAACAATATTATAATATAAAACCTTCTTTTTAGATTCTTTTCTTTTTAGATTCTTTTTATACGTGTCTAATATATTTTGGCGGAATATCGCGTAGATTTATCTGCGATTTATCTGTGTGTGGTGAGCCGAGATAAACGAAAATAAACGACGGAAATGCTCCGAAGAATTAACATGAAGTCTGACTCTGCTCGCAAAGTATACCGGCTTCCAATTCTTTGGTTCACGACTCTGTTGAACTCTGTAAAGCCATCAAAGCTGGCAAATATTTGTAGAGAGGAAAAAGAGAGATAAGGGCAAGGTATAGACGCGTTGGCGGGGCCTTAAACTCACTATAGGCACGAGACCCCTTAATGAAATTACAGGGAGGGCGCTGCCGGCCAATTAGCGTGAGAATGTCGAGCTGAATCTAGGGGGTAAGGGATTCTAACTCTCAGGTGAGACACGGCAGCAGAAGAGAGAAGATGAACATCCTCGCAGGTTATCCTTGTCGTTGGTATCTACCTGAATAGTCCCGACTCATCGTCGAGACCAAACACGACGATATCGGGAGGCCTTGTTCCTGTTGTATGCGACTATTGAGTTGTCGGATTCGTGAGAGACACATACTGGAACACGTATCTCGTGAAACACGATCGGACATAGATGCACACGGCACACAAACAGAACTAGGCTTCTTTTATAGGCGGCAGAATCCCCATTAATTTCCCCTTTCTTCCCCACCTCGTGTTTCTATCTTTTGCATTTTTTCACTCTATTTCTCTCTCTTAAATAATAACTGCAGTAATTTACCTCCAATTTTATTCATACACACATACATATAAAATTCTATATATAATGAAAATAATAATAAAAATTATATACATATATAATTTTTTTATATTGAAATTAATTGCAGTTAGCATAACTTTTATGGAGATGAAAAATATTCAATTGAATTTCATCATGAGTATTGACTCATGATCGATTATGTTGAGTGTAAGCAAACTACATGATACCACTTTAATGCCTAAATAAAAAAGTGCCTGAGAAAGCAGGAGCGATGATGACGGAGCGGTATGCATAAAAGCGTGATAATTCCGACGGATGTCAAAACCAGTTAACCCTTGAAGAATAGGCCGCGTTCCATTGCGGTCGTGAACGATATCGAGCCTCATAATCTCGATCCGGTTTAAGCCTAAACATCCCACACGATCTCTCACCGGTGGGTTAAGGGCGGAACGTGAAGCTATGTCGTCTTTCCGCGAGGGTGGTTGCCTCCTTCGACTTCCTACCCTGTTTCAATGCTCTCGGTCGATTATCCGATTGTACCACCCGGAACAAATGAATACATTTAATACAATAAAATGCATTTAAATTAACAAACCGTTCGACTCCCATTTTTCTATTCGATTTTATACTAAAAAAAGTGATATCTATATATAAATTTATAATATTTAATAGTTCGAAGAAAAGAGAAAGAAAAGAAGGTACAGTATCAATCAAAAATATTGCATCATTTATAAAAACAGTGAAATTGTTAGTTTAATCAATAAAAATATATATAAATTTTAATAAATTATATTTTATTGCTATTATTTTATGCATTAAATAATTTTAACATGAGCAAAATAGAGAAAAAAATATAACCATTTATTTTGGTTTTCTGTATTTTTGAAGGATATTGCAATATTCTGATGTGTGTTGTCAGTTTCAAAAGATGGCGATTCTCTCCAGTAAAGCTACAAAACTCCAGGTGGTCCAGCGCGCCCTCAAAAGAATTAATGGTGTAAGATTAGACTCCCCATTGGAAAAAATCCCCTCTTCTCTGCGAGACTTCCCTTCAAAGGTAATAGAGAAATCATTTGTTATTGATACGTTTCACTATATAATTTATAACATTCAGGTAACACACTTATTCATCCTTATTCTTAGCCGATGTCAAGACTCTATAGAGTCTATTTCCTTTAAGAAAAAATGATTCATAAAAACCTCATAAATTTACAATTGTGACACAGTTCATATCAGACCAAAGGCAGTTTATACCGCCGGTCTTTTTATCACTTGTCATGAGACAAAGATTCCAAAAAGATTGAAAAACTATTAAAAAGAAGCAGTTAACGACACAGTTTATTAACTTTTTTCAAAGTTCCTGAAAGATCATCAAATTGATAGTTTTACTTTATTTGGAAGTAAAAAATGATTTCTTGAAATGCAGTTTGTAGCCTCCTGAATGACTTATGTAATCTTTAATTTTGCTCCTTTTTCAGGAATAATGCTCCTTTTATATGATTTGGACATTCAAATGTTTTCATGTCATTTTTGCGTATCTGTTTTTGTTAACGATAATCGATGATTTACGTAACACATGATTTATTTAATCCATGATTTATAATAGTTGTAACCGAAAATTTTCTATGCTTGATTAATGTTTTAAGGAATTTTTGGAAATTCTTTGAAAAGCATGTTTATTCTTTTAATTTTTCCAGAGATCCAAATTGAAACGGAAATGTATGAATTGAATAAATATTAATTCTTTTGAAGACAATTATTTCTGTGTTTTTTCTGTACTTGTCTCTTATTATCCCGTATGTATATATATATATATATATATATATATATATATATATATATATATTGAAATTTGATACAATTTTATAAGAAAATTTTAATGTAATAATTAGCTTAAATTATATATTATTTTATTATTTATTATTGTTAATGATTTATGTCTCTTATATTGTACAAACATAAAAAGACTCAGCTTCTTTGTAAAAGATTAGCTGTGACAAAAAACTTGCAATATGTGTAGCACAAAAAGTAGCCATAATTATTACTATAATTATTATTGTAAAAACTCATTTCAAATTATCGTAATAGTAATATCGCGCTTATATGACGACAGTAGTGAAGATAAAGCTTTGACGCGGTGAGAAACAACGTAGCGAAAAAATGGAGGACGGATTTTATGAATCGCGATTTGGGAGAATGAATGAGAGGAATGGCGCTTGCCCACGGCTACCAGCATCGTGTCCATTGAGTTCTTACATCGTTCTGCTCTTTCAGGATTGCCGAAGGAAAAGAAAGAGAAAAAGAGACAGAAAGAGAGAGAGAGAGAGAGAGAAAAAAGAGTGAAACCAACAGCAAAGTGAGAGAACGAAGATGGAAGAGAGCGAAGCCGGAGAAAGAAGCCGGCGCGACGGTCTGGTTTTGGTCCGGGTTGTTCTGGTGTCGCGTTACCGTGTGGAGACCACAAAGGATCGCGGAGGATTCTTATCTTAGTATCGCCTAACTTGTTAACATACCTAACCTACCCGGAGGAGCTCACAGAAGACTCATCCGGCACCTTGAGACAACTCAATCCCAAGTCCTCCATCCTCTCTCCAACGCGACAGCCTCCAATTCTTATTTGCCTATCTCTTTTCTTTTTCATTTTTTTTTCTCTTTCTCTTTTTACCTATCTCTTTACGGTCTCTCTTGTCTCTCTTGCCGCTTCTTCCCGTTTTTAGTGGTGCCGCGTTAAGATAACGACCTTGTACGCATTTTAGGCGCTCATACCCCATTTATATCGACCGATTTAAAGCTAGATCGACCATTCGCTAATGCATGCCCCGCAAAAGATGAACAGAAAACAACTCCAGGACATGAATATTTATCTCCTCGGATTCGATGAGCACTTTTGCTAAAGAAAAAGTGCCGTGCTTAAGTACCGGTCACTGTACGAACGGCTCGAATGTCCCACGGTTGAAATCTCTCGGGATAAATCAACTTCTACCCTTGGTGCATTCTTTTTTCTAAATTTTCGTATTTAACCTACCGCCATTAATGCATTATTAACAAGGATATGTTGTCATTGTTATCACAGTTGTATGTGTATAACTTTCGGATACTAACATCCTAGAAATTTATTCTAAACTCGAGAAGAAATTGATGTACATATACAATTATAATAATTTTTTATGCACTAATTTTTATATTTAAAAAAGGTATTTTACATAATTCGTAAATTATGTACATTAGAATTTCTAGGATCGTTATACCCACACAAATAGAAGATTACGATATAAGCTCGTCGGTCGGTTAAAGGCACGATCAAATGTCAAACAAGGCGCCGCCGCGTTCTCTCCTGGTTACAAAGGCTTGTGGGAGCACAAGGCGAAATGCGAGGTAGGAAAGACTGATAACACGCACGATAAATAAAGCCGAGCGAGTTTATGCTCGTTAAAATGTTGCTGGTGGACGGACCGAGTAAGTCATCCTCGGTTTATGCTAATTCCGCCGGTTGCTGGGATTCCTGTCGTCAATAAATTTCGGAAAAATATGCCCCAATTACAGAAATGACTCATCAAGTAATTGCGTATAAAACAAAAACCGCCTCGCGGGAGATGCTTATGCGATGATAACAATGCGGCGACGGTGGCAGCGGTGGCTTTGCATTCGGAGCACACACCGGACATCAAATAAGAACCTAGATAAGGCATACTTTCCCAAGACGCTTGACGCGATCGACCAGATTCACAGTAACCGGTGAGAAATGTCAACCTGATAGTTTCTGATAGTCATGTATATTTATGTACAGTCATAAAAAAGCGAGTGCATTTGGAGAATTTTAATAACAACTTATTGCGCTTATTTAATAACAACCTATTGCGCTTCAACCGTTTTGATAGCAAAAAAATAATGTAAAGATATTGTATATTTCAATTTTTTCTTTGACAAATATATTTTCATAATATAATGTTTATTTAATTAATTTCGTCAATATATATATATATATATATATATATATATATATAATTTGATATTTAAATATGATATAGATTGTATTTAAATATCAATGATCTCTCCTGATATAAATTTTTTTAATAAATTGCTAAAATTTATAATAATGAGTCTCCTCAGTACTTGTTTTCTGAAAAACAGTTTTGAGTATCTGGTTGCATGTATCAGGCGTCATACGTATATGTGTGCTTTATTATTTAAATTTAAATCAAAATTTCCACTTGGTTTTTGTAAATTTAATTAGATTATATCAAAATTAATTTTGTTATTATAAATATATGTATATATGTGTATGTATATATCGTATGCATACATATGTAATCCATACCTATGTATATATGCATGTTATATAATATTATATACATATATATGTGTGTTTGTTTATATATTATTTATTTGTTTATTATATATATCTATTTATTTATAAAATATAGTTACGTGTGTGTTTAAATGCAAATAAATAAATTAATTAATTTTATATTGCAAATTAATGTTACATATGAATGTATCAATATGTATTAATTGTGTAGATAGGTCTCATTAACATTATGTATATGTATAGATGTTTCATTTCCGGGTTAAAAATTTTTGAATCAGATTCTATTATTATTTGCCTTAGATATTACCATTTATTTTCATAGCTTTTACTTTCAAAAATTTACTTTCAAAATCATGCTTTTATTAATTAATTTAATATTATATAACTAATTATTTATTTTTCAATTGTATGTTTTATATCTAGTAAACTTAAAGATGTGAAACTGTCAAACTCTAATACACAAATATCTGATACAAAACGTATAAGGGAAAGATATACCTATTGTAATAATTTACAATTAATTGATATCAAAAATTATTCAATACATTAATGTAGAGCATCAATTGCAATTACATTTTCTCAATTTTTTAGATTTTAATTACAAATTTTATAACAACTACATTTAATTAAAAATAAAAAGCACACACATTAATGGTGATTTAAATATCTTAATTCCTTTTATAATTTATGATATATAACATATAAGCTTCTTGTACAAGGAAGAGTCTCCACCGTGACAAGCATTGAAACTACTGTGTAATACTTAATCGATAATAAAGATTTCTGTGATCTCAAATTTTTTATTTAAAAATCGTATATTGATAAGACATAAATTGTATATTGATGGTAAAATATATACCTATCGAAATTTTACCGAAAAAAAGATTGCCTTTTTAATACGAAAAAAACACATAAAGCAAGAAACACAAGATCTTTCTAATATAACTGCTTTAAAATAACTCGAAAATAATGTAATATAAATATTTAGTAAACATTTAACAAACAATTCATGGATTGATAAATTCAGTTCATTTCGTTTGGAAAAAAAAATACATACGAGCTGTAAACTTATTATAATTGCAAAACCCACTTTCAATCAGATTTTCGTATCGCATTGCGTTTATCGAGATATATAAATTATATTTCACGAAAATATAATAAATTACGTTGAATACATGTGTAAACGTCTTGCCTCTTTCTGTCGAAAACAATATTTTACATTGGTTTGTGCAGGCTGAGTAGACCGATTGGTCGCGATCTTCCATAAGTACGTCACCTAACATCCGAATGGGTAATAAATAGTGATTCCCGAATTGAAAAATTTAAAATTTCATAAAAGAAGATTGTGGACCAACATTGGAAGATCTCATAATGTGTATGACTCTTGTCCGCGATGGGAGTCCGCGATTCAAGCATCTAAATAATCGTCAGATCTATTGTGTCTAGAATTTTTATAAGAGATTGTTACTTCATACAGAGAGTTTCGATAAATATAAAATCGATAATCTTCTTGCTACATAATTCTCTTCTTCACGAAAAGCGATCATTAAGTGTTTATTGCGTTCATTCCGCCTTTTCGCGATATTGTAAACTTTACAAGTGTAAAATATTTTCATTAATGTTTATTATATAAATTTAGGTTCCTCTCCAATCAAATGTGGTTAGGTTGTAAATTGATCTCGCAATCTCTATGTTTCTATTCTTAATTTTTTGTTATAGGAATATTTATATCGATTCAAA